GGTGGGGGCGACCCAGCACGGGTGACTTGCAGCCTGCACAGGTGACTCTGTCCCTGCTCAGTAGAGTCCTGTCCACCGCGGGAACCTCGGTGTGCCGACTTCCCCCCATACCCCCCAGGTGTGGGCACAGCTGCTCCGTGAAAATGGATTTCCAGCCGCTTCCGCTGCCTCCCAGAGCTCCTGACGGGTCCTCCTCTGTCCCCCGAAGGGCCACCTCCAACGAGTAACCTCCAGGCTCCTCTGAGTCGGGCTTCCCATAAAGTGCGAGGGTCTGCTGAGGTCAAAGAAGAAGAGGACGCAGGCGGCTCCTCTGGGCCTGTGATTTCCAGCGCCTCGGGCGGCAGGACCCCCAGGCGTGTCTGGGAGGAGGCGATGGAGTGACGCTGCACAGACCCCCTGGTCCGGGGACCGGGTGGTGGGAAGAGGCTCCAGCAGACTGTGCGGGAACGACAGGCACCGTCTGCCATGCCCTCGGTGGTTCTGCTCAATCACTGCTGTGCTGCAGGGCTGCAGGGAGGGAGCAGTCAGGTGCCAGAAATCACGGGAGCAGGGTCAAGGGCAGGGTCAAGGGCAGAGGGAGGAGGGAGCGGAGTCCGAGAAGCCAGTGTGGAGGCCTGGCTGTGGCTCTCACGCTCACTACCTCCTGGCCTCTGGCCAGCCCAGGCCCAGGGAGGCCCCAGCTGACAGAAGCAGAGCCCACCAGCCCCGCAGGGACCACACACTGTGCCGGCACCTTCCTGTCAGACAGGCCCTGAGCCCTCGGTCAGAGGAGAGCAGGCGGGGAGGGCTCGCTTGCTTCTCATTCCCACCGTCTGTGTGTCTGTCCCGTGTCTAGACTTGCCCTCAGACCTAAAGGGAGCTACCAGGCCGACGACATCTTGACATTTTTGCACTAATTACAAACGTGCGTGTTCTGCAAGCGTGTGCTCCGGGACCCCCCCGCTTAGTGAGGCAGAGGGCGCAGTGCGCGAACCGCTCAGTGAGCTGTGCAAGTAACCTGCCTCTCCGAGCAAGTCCCAGGCGGGGAAACTGGGCCATAGGTCTCCCGCCACCTGCTCACCCTGTCCAGGGACCATGTCAGTCAAACAGGAGAGACACAGCTGGGACATTCACTGCGTGACGGCCTCTCCCTTGAACTGTGATCCATGTACTTAGGCGTACAGTCGGGTCTGGGGACATGTCCTCATTCCTGTCCCGCGTCTTGAAGAAGCCGGGTCCACAGCGGGGTCACTCACTCCTGCCAAGCAATGGCAGGGCTTGTCCGATGGCGTAAAATCCTGTGGGATAAGGCAGCCCGGCCGAGAGGAGGGACCGCATTCCCTGCACTGCCTGGGAGGTTCCCAGGGAAGCCGTGGGGACGGTGCTTTGGGTAGCAGTGCTCCGGCCCCCTCCATGCAGAGCCGGCAGGATTGGTGGGGTCAGGGGAGGGCACGCCCCTCTTCTGCCAATGCCCTGCGGGTGGCTTTGGGGTGCATCTGGTTAAGGGCGAGTCAGGAGGCCCCAGGAGGCTGGGGTCGAAGATGCTTGACGTCTCCCTGAGGGCCACGCCCAGGGGTTCCCGGAACATGGGCCACGCACGGACCGAAGTCGGCTGCAGAGAAACCCCAGCGGGTCAGGGACGCACAGACACAACTGGGAGGGAATCCGGAGGCTGTGGAGGCGTCGGGAGCTGGGCCCTCCGCGGTGGCGCGCCTCATTTCTCTGGAGAGGACAGGCGAGTGGGGAGCCACAGGCCGAATCCTCGCAGGTCGACCCTGCCACATGGTCACACTGCTCTGCTGGGTCCGGCTTAGGGCAGGGAGGGGCGGAGACACAGCGGCGGCATCTCTGGTCCCTGAATGGCCAGAGGTCAAGGACGGCACGACGCTGGGCTGACAAGACGCAGAATCCTTGCTGCAGTCTCGTCTGCTGCTCTACATTGAGTCACCTCCCCTGTCGTCGGTGGCTCAGCGCTGGGCCTGCTCCTGGCGGCCTATCAGGAACGCAGTGCCGGGAGCCGCTCGGGACCGCACAGCTGCTGGCTGCCTCCGGAAGCAGAAGACAAGGTGCTCTGGGTCCTTGTTGCTGCCGAGGCTGCCG